GAGTGAAACAAAACTCTATGTTTAGTCCTATAATAGATGTTAATGTTCTTCTAGAAATGAGAGTGTTCCTAGACAAAACAACTAAAATAATTCTCACGAAAAGGATAAATAATGATCATCCTTAACTAAGGATTTACTTTAATGGGATAATGATATAACAATGATGTTTCTCTCTTGGACTTTCTAAAATAAAAAACTCACTAAGATAGAAGATTGAACAATATATAAATAGGATTGTGTTCTAGTTGTTATTGTATCGTGTGTTCTCTTCTGATGAGAACATGACCATGAGCAAGGACAATGATCCACTTGAAGGACTTGTAGGACCTATAACAAGGGCTAGAGCAAGGGAAGCAAATGAAGCTCTTCAACAAGTGTTGTCCATATTATTTGAATACAAGCCCACATTTCAAGGAGAAAAGACCAAAGTTGTGAATTGCATCATGGCCCAAATGGAGGAGGACTAATGCGTCATTTTGTTTCAGTCTTTAAGTTTGTTTACATAATGACTCAATCCTTTGTAAAATTGGCTGACCAAATTATGTTTTGGGTTAATTAATTAATGGGCTTTAGTTTGGTTTTGCTTCAAGTTGTAATACGGGCCCAATTGAAAACTTAGGTATCAGCCTTTAGGAGACCAAGAGGGTGCATAGCAAATTGACTTTTGTTTGCCATAATTTCAGTTACAATCAACTATTAAGTAGTTTTGAATTCATAGGTTAATATATCATTATTGACATTTATTTGCCTCGATTAAGTCATTTTCAATTCTTACATTAATGGATCATTATTAGTATTCATTTTCCTTTATTGAGTCTTTGTAACTCTGATGGCAAAGCTTTTACATAAGTTCAACCATCTTTTATGAGAAATATTAGTGTTTATAAATATTAGTGTTTATAAGCTCTTTTATCTTAGTGACAGTAATTCTCCTAAGTTCTTGAGTGATTCAAGAACCCTTGATTGTATCAAAGGACTTTTACATCCTTTGTGAGTTGCCTCCCTTGGGAAGAGTGATTCTTTCCTTTGACATTTCACATCCACCTCTTGTCCTTTATTCACCAAAACCCAGGAAATTCAATTCTACCCAGATTTATTTCATGGTCATAACTTTCGTTCTACTCGTCCAAATTAAGTGTTTTTTTAGTCTAAATTGAAATTCAGAACGAGAACTTTTATCTCGTTTTTTAATCACCTCAATCAGAGTTTTATAGTTAAAATATCGACATTTCAAAAATATTGTCCAACCCTGAAACTTTCACTACTTTCTAATCCCTATTTCTTACTAATTTCGTAAATTTTTTACAAGGTTCTAGATCATGAGTCAACCCTTGTGCAAAGGAGGTTTGTATCTTCTATCGCTATAATCCTCATTTTATAAATATCAATACGTGATTATTAAAACCCTACATTTAATAATTTATTGAAAACATTTCTTTAATAATATGATATTCTTAATATAATTTTTTATCTTATTTTGTACGTAGATCTTTTTTAGTATATTTGAAAATTATTGAATTATTTATTTTAAATACTTTCCAAATCTTTACAACATAATTCATATTTTCCTTTTCATGTGTAATATGACCATTGAAAAAAAAATTCCTTTATCTATCTTACAATATATATATATATATATATATATATATATATATATATATATATATATATATATATTTCATATTTATTTAAAAAGTCTTAAAATTATTTATTCGTTTATTATTTTATTTGTATGATTTTTTACTATATAATATATTTTTATTCTAAGATAATATTTTAAATTTTCATCATTTTTCATATATTCTTCTATGGTCTTTTTTTCACATATTTAATCAAAATATAGTTATGTATATATTCTTTTCATATTTCAAAATTTATTTCATAATATATTTTTAAAATAATTCTGAATTTAATATTCCATTGATGCAAATTACCAATATGTCCATTAGGTTATTTCCCGATCGGTAAACATGTCAAAGTAATTGTATAAAATAGTAAAATTATATAGATTAATCACTTACATGTAAATAATCAAATGTTAATTTAGTATCTATTATTATTTATTATTATAATATTACGATAAATTACTAAAAATCATGATAAAAAAATCATTACTATATATAAATTTAAGATCCCTTTAACATTTAAAATTTCTTTATTAATTTTATAAAAATATATACTTATAATTTATTTATTTTTATAATTAAATACAATACTATTCTTATGAAATAAAAAATTTAAAGATATTAATAAAAATTAAAAAGAAAAATAATAAATAAAATTATGCAATATTTCATTTAAATCAGGACCGAATTTTTCACTTAATAAACATAGACATAGAAAATAAATTTCACGAAGTGTAACTTAATTTTATGAAATCAATTCATATGAAGATATTTATATCTATTTATATATTATAATTTATTATATTTTTAGTATTTATATATTTGTTAGTGGAAAATCGAGAAAAGCGATCGAAAACGAAGGAAAGAAATATGACTGATTGATAAATCGATAAGATAGATAAAAAATCATTCGATGTTTAATTAGAAGTACGTAGCACATAACATCGAGAAGCACAATCGAGAATCGAGTGAATGATAACCAAATGCCTATTGTCGAATAAAAATTAAGAAATTAGAGTTATATGAGATCAAGGTTAAAAAGGGATCGTAAGCAATTTGGAGTTCTCGAAAACATTAAATCGAGAGTGAAGAAAGTCAACCGACGTGGACATCGAGACTTTGGCCAAACCGTGAAAGGAAGAATAGTCAAATGCACATATAGGAAGCGGTTTCTAAACCATAATAGAAATCGAAGATCGTAAGAACGTGGGAAACTGTAGAAGATAAGCTGCAACATGCACGTAGAACGTGGTAGCAGTTTTGTTAACTGCTCCTGGAAGGCTTGAATGATACCCTATAAATAGAGCAAAGGAGGAAGGAACTAGGGGGGAGCAGAAAATTGGCAGAGAACAGAATCAGTAGTGAGAAGTCTACCGGAACATGACGAACACCATGAAGCTTCTGGCAATCTGGATTTCCATGCTCATCGAGTACCTCTATCGCTTTCTTTACTTTCCTTGGTAATTTACTTTGATGCACTTTATATTCAGCAATTTTATGTTTCTGTATTTTCAATTCTTCGTCATTTCGATTCAATGCAAGTTAAGTATCCGTGTTTAAATTCCTTGGTCATTTTACATTAATGCAATTTCGATTTCCAGTCATTTATTGCACCTTTGATTTACTGTCCTTTTCTTGCAAACTCGATTTCTCGTTATTTACATCGTTGCTGTTTCGATTTCCTGTCTTTTACACTTAAAGCAAATTTGAGATTTTCGTAGTTTACGTTTCTTTGCCGTCTAAGTTCCAGCACAACTTTTCGATTCCATACATTTTCTGTTTTCTTTACTTCGAATATTCTTAATACAAAACACCAAAAATAGTATCTTTGAAATCGGGTAAAATTCGATCCTCATACACATTTTTGATTGAAAATTAATTTGCTAGCCTAAGCAAAAAGAACTTACGTGGTAGAATTTTGATTAGGATCAAAATATCTTAGGAGTCGAAATCGATCGAAATTCCACCAGAAACAATATTATAACTTAAATATATATTTAGTGGACATAAAATATCTACCACACTTATTTTGATATTGTAAAACTAAATATTTATAGAGGTTTAATAGTGAAAAAATAGCGTGGATCGCAACAAACCTTATATTAAAATGATATATTATATATTAGAAAACATATTTTAATTTAACTTAATTATACAAAATCTATTTATAACATAAAATTTATATTTCATGTACTGTAATTTAATCATATTTATAATGAATATGACATCTCCATTAACATAATTTTTAATTGTATATGAAGAAAAATAAATGTTTATGTAGACTTGAAAAAGCTACTTTTTTACTTTGCAGTTTTTCTAATTTGTTTGCTACTTCCACTTTGTACAAAAATTCTTTGTTCCTCCAATTACGGAAAAGACACAATTGACCAAGTCCAATTATTTGGAATGACAGAAATTGAAAGGTGTTTTTATTTGTCCAAACAAATGGATGATAACTTAAATTTTTGAATGAAACAAAACTTCTCATTTGTTTTCTTTTGGCATCACTCACAAATATATGTGGGAAAAAGACTTCCATTTCAACCAGCATGAGGACTTTATACTAATTCAAAATGGCACTCAATCATCTTATATCAACATTATCATTGAACAATTCAACACTTTCCACTTTCAATTCACCTACTCCTATCAATTATAAAGCAGGAAATAGGTAATAAAACAAATTCTCTTACCTATTTCCTTTAAAAAATAATTATTAATAAAAAAATTTAAAAAAATTACTATAGTTAAATTAATACAAATATTTGTATGAAGAAAACAATAATTTGTTAAGCACATAAAATAAGTAGAGAGATAAAATTTCAAATATTTGTTTAACATAATAATATAACTATTTATACTAATAGATATAGTGGTTCTTGTGCTTTGAAGAAGACTTATACTGCACTTAGGAGATTAACATGGTTAATAATACAATTCTTTTAGTCTATAAAAGGAGAAAGAGATATTTGAAATTAGAGTATGTCTTTACCATCTTCTTTACATATACACACAATCTTCTCAAAATTTCTTATGAGCACACACTCACTTGTGGCTGTTCTTGATACCAATTTACTTAGCAAACTATAATATCAATATCTTTCGAGCAAATGGTTATTTTCTTGGTTATTAGTGTTCCATGTTGCTCCAATTGAAAGATAACTTGATATTTAACTCCACAGGATCCAAAAAACTTGCTCTTTGGAATCAAAGTGAAGATTGTTGTCAATGGCATGGAGTAACATGCAAGGAGGATCATGTTGTAGCCCTTGATCTCGGTGAGGATTCTATCTCAGGAGGACTTGATAATTCAAGCATTCTTTTTAGTCTTCAATATCTACGAAGCTTGAATTTGGCTTTAACAACATAAGTTCAATGATTCCTTCAGAACTGTTCAAGTTGAATAATTTGAGGTATTTGAATTTGTCTAATGGTGGATTTGAGGGACAGATTCCACCTGAGATTTCTCACCTCAGAAGGTTAGTTACTCTTGACTTGTCTTACAATAACTTTACAGGTCCACTCCCTTCCTTCAGTATGTCCAAGAATCTCAAATATTTATCCCTCTTTCGTAATCGTTTAACTGGTGTGCTATCACCCAACCATTTTGAGGTTCATAAAAATCTTGTCAGCATTGATTTAGGGTTTAACCTTTTCAGTGGGAGTCTCCCCTCATCTCTACTTAATCTCCCATATTTGAGAGAACTGAAAGTACCTTTTAATCAATTCAATGGTTCTTTGGATCAGTTTATTGTCTCCCCTTTATTAGAGATGCTTGATTTGGGTAACAATAATTTTCAAGGAACAATTCATGTGTCCATTTTTAATCAGACAACACTACGCCTCATCCAACTCAATTCAAACAAGTTTAATGGCACAATACAATTGGACAAGATTCGAAAGCTTGGTAATCTAACTTCATTAGGTCTCTCGCATAACAATTTGCCAGTTGACATAAACTTTAGGGATGTTCATGACTTGTCCAACTTTCCTAATATGGGAATTCTAATGTTGTCATCTTGCAAGTTGCAAGGAATCCCCAGTTTCTTGAGAAATCAATCCAAACTACTACATCTTGAATTAGCTGACAATGAAATTGAGGGCTCAATACCACACTGGATTTGGGAAAATGAATATCTTGTTCATTTGAATCTTTCCAAAAACTTTCTGACAAGTTTTGAAGGAAGTTTCAAGAACCTTAGTTCAAACCTTTTGCTTCTGGATCTTAGTTTCAATCAACTACAAGGGCCTTTTCCTTTCATTCCAATGTTGGTAAATTGCTTGGACTACTCAAACAATAGATTCAACTCAATCATTCCACGGGACATTAGAAATCGTCTCCCTTTCATTAATATGTTATCTTTTTCAAACAATAGTTTTCAGGGAAAAATCCCTGAATCCTTTTGCAATGCTTCAAGTCTTCACCTACTAGATCTTTCCCACAATAACTTTGTTGGAACGATTCCCAAGTGTATTACTACGTTGAGTAGTCTAAGGGTGTAGAATTTTGGTGGGAACAAACTCCATGGTAATATTCCCAATTCTGTTCCAGCTTCATGTAATCTGAAATTGTTGGACCTAAATGACAATCTCTTGGAGGGTACCATCCCAAAATCTTTAGCCAATTGTCAAAAGCTACAAGTCCTAAACCTTCGAAAAAATTTATTAACTGATAAATTTCCATGCTTCTTAAGTAATATTTCCACCTTGAGAATTATGGATTTAAGGTTAAACAAACTTCATGGGTCAATTGGATGCCCAAGAACCAGTGGTGATTGGAAAATGCTCCATATTGTTGATCTAGCGTCCAATAATTTCAATGGTGTTATACCAGGAGCACTGTTAAACAATTGGAATGCAATTATGCGTGATGATGCTAATGGTGTGCCTGAATTTGGCCACCTATTTATTGATCTCTATGATCACTACGATCCAAAGAATTTTAAGGATTTGTTGTCAAGTGTGGACAAATCTCTACTAGCAAGAATAGCTAAATTTTTTACAAACGTATCTCGCTCTATCCTTGACCAGTCATCCACCGAATCTTATAATGCACTGGATATTTCTCGACTTCAGAACTCAATTACCATAACCAACAAAGGTCAACAAATGGAGTTGGTGAGGATCCAGAAGATCTTCACATACTTGGATATGTCAAGCAACAATTTTGAGGGTCCAATACCGAATGAGCTAATGCAGTTCAAGGCATTGAATGCTCTAAATTTGTCAAACAATGCCCTATCCGGTCATATCCCATCTTCTATTGGAAATTTGAAGAATCTTGAGTCTTTAGATTTGTCACACAATTCTTTCAATGGAGAAATTCCAACAAAGCTTGCAAGCTTATCTTTCCTTGCATATTTGAATCTCTCGTTCAATCACCTAATGGGAGAAATTCCTATGGGCACACAAATTCAATCATTTGATGTTGATTCCTTTAAAGGGAATGAAGAGTTATGTGGACCTCCTCTGATCCATAGTTGCAGGAATTATGGAGTGACACTACCTGAAACACTTCATTCCCATACTGAGAGTTCAATTGATTGGAATATTCTGAGTGTAGAGTTGGGATGTATTTTTGGTTTTGGAATTTTCATCCTCCCCTTTATTTTCTCGAGGAGATGGATGTTATGGTATTCCAAACATATGGATGAGATGCTTCACAAGATCATCCCCCAACTTGAATTTGTTTATGAACACCATGAAGGGAAGACACACAAAACTCTAACATGGAAGTACTAAAATATAAGGTAAAAGCTTTACTTATTTAACCCATGCAACATAGGGCAATTTTCACTCTAAGTTAAGTTTTTTTTTTTGGCTAACATATGCCTTCATGGTGGAAAGAGGGGAGTGTGGAATTGGGTGTAGAACTAGAGGAGACTTATGAGGATGATTTTCATGTTTATATTATATGTTTATCTCACAATTTTCTGTTTTCTTTGAGGTAGGATCAAACAATTTCTTTGATGTGGTGCTAACCAGAATTTGAAGTGTCCGGCTCGCCTCTTAATATTATTCATGTAATATTATTATATTGTTCTTATTGCAATGCTCTAAAATTAATATGGAATGTTAGATATAATTTAAATACTTTTCATATTATTCTTTATATTTCTAATTAGTTTTAATTTAGAATGTTAATATGATTTCAGAGTTCAAATCTAATTTTTGTTGGAGTTGAGTCAAAAATCATTTTTTTTGTAAGTCAAAAGTATTGGTATGTTATACTTCATTTGAAGGAGCGTATTAAAAGTTTTACATTCCCAACTTAATACCATCTCATATAGTTTAAACACTTGTTATGTTACTTTGTATATTATCAATTAATTTTATGTTGGAACCTTAATCATACATGTTACTATCAACTTTTGTTATTTAAAAAGTTTTCACAAGTTAATTAATGACTTCAATAAGATTTAAATATATAATATTTGTAATAATTTAATTAATTCAATTTGTCAAGAATTTAAGTAAAAAAAATGTTTGAAAGTTTAAAATAGAAGAAAATTAATATAGAAAACAAAATTTCTTAATCTTAAAAAGGTAGAAGTTTAACAGACTTGGCAAAAGGTTTAGAACACTAAAATGAGAAATCATTTAAACTACATTTTTTAATTTATTTTTACTAAATAATTATTTTTTTCCAGTTCCTTTTTTCTTACTAAATTTATGCATTAATCACATTAACTAAAAATATTTTCTTATTTAACTCTTATTAATATATATTATACATAATAATTCGTGATCAATATATATAATTATTAATTATATATAATGATATTAGTAAAGTATAATAATTGATATTAAAATTAGTATATATGATTATTCAAAATATTTTGATAATAATATAAGACTACTTTTTTTACACACACACATATATATATATATATATATATATATATATATATATATATATATATATATATATATATATATTCTAATGTTGTCTTGATTCTCTTATTACTTATATAGGATCTTTACCCAGTATTCAACAAAAACTCGATTAAGTAGATCTCAAGATAATAATATTATATTAAAAACATTTTTATGATATTAAAATATTTTTTAAAATATTATAGTCTATTTTCGGCAAAAATATTTGTAAAAATATTATATTAAAAAATAGTCTCCAAAATGTTATAAAATTGAATTCGTAAAACATAATCAAGAATAGTGTTTAAAAACATTGCATTGTGCTCTTGGTCATCATAAGAAGAGTAATAAAATTATCTAACCTAAATAAATTAGTGAATAAAAGAAGGGAAGAATCACGATCGTTTGGCATAAATAAATATGGGAATTGTTTTTTATACCTCAACGAACTACAACAACGTATTAATTAAATATCCGAAAAGTCTAACCATCTCTACATAATATTTGAACATAAAATTTTTTGTCGGCCCATCGCATGGCAATACTAGTCTAACAATAAATAAACTCACGTGACTCCCATGCAGCACATGCTCAGTTCCCCTCCAATGATAAGATATTTTGTCTTTTCCTTTCGTGCATTCAATAAATTAAAAAAAAAAAAGTGATTTAAATAAAAAATACATGGATTTGCAATTGTGTGTTTGGATCATGGAACACGGTAAAACCGATTTTGGACAAAATTGATTATGTGAAATGAAACTAGTGGCTCTCATAATATCTTGGAAACCCCGAATCATGTGATCCGGTTATGTTTCTATGGATGTGAGTAAGTTTAAAAAAAGGTAATATAATTTTGTTTTTATAAAACTGTACAAAGTATTTATTAGTAGTAACTTGAGCGTCAGAAAGTATTTGTACATATCACGTTCTCTACAAGAATCTCTCACCCAGACGTCCAAGCCGAAATTTTGAGAAGACCATGTAGCGGTAAGGCAGAGAAGATTAGTATTTAACCCTATAACACCTTTGTGAAGTACAGAATAAAATTTCGTTCCATTTATACATATCTTTTTAGTTTTTTATTAATTTTTTTTTAATCTTTTTAAAATATTCTGATATATTTATAAGTTTTATATATTTTAAAATTAAGATTAATAATAATTTTTATATATTTTCTTTTCTTTTTTCTCTCAAAACGTTTTTTAAAAACTTGTATAACTAACTAGAACTCCAGAATATATTATATCTTATAGATAAAAATTTACCCTATCGTTCTCATAATGAACATAACAAAACATGGTGAACACATTAATTTAGGTTGATAACGTGGCTGTTAGTTCAACCAAAAAACAAACCAAGCACGGAATAAGGCAAGAGAAATGGTAATTTTTGTCTTCTCTTAGGTAAGGTTTGGTATAAGAAATGTTTAAATATTTTTGTGAAAATGACTTGGAAATAAAACTTTGAAAAAAAAAAAGAATAATGATATTTTGTTTGATAGTAAAATATTCTGATAAATTCATAAATAATCTAAATCTTAAAACCTAAAAACAAAAACTCAAAAGGTCAGACTAAAAAAAAGTTAATTATAAATAAAATAATTTCCCTTTGATGAAAAGCTACCTCAATTGTAAGAAATTGTGCATAATGAAATAATACCTAACGTTATGGCTGATCTATTGAATGGAAATCGCCATTATAATAATGTTGACAAAGTGCAATAATTTATAATTAGAAGGGTAGGCTCATAGCAAAAAGTCAATACATGATTAGAAGGGTCGACATCAAAACGCGTAGAGTGCAATAAAAAAAATCTTGGTCTTACACATTAAGGTGGCCTAATATTTCTTCTTTCTGGCAAGGAAGCATTTTCCTTTGAACGGTGCAACTGGCCCTAAGTTGATATCTCTGACCAATCTATTGTCTGCATCCTGTTTTCAAATTACCAATTCTCATAGTCTTCAACACAACTTGTACAGTTTTGGCCTACACTCCTTGCAAAATTTAGTTTAGTTTAAGAAGATAAAAAGTGGAGAACACGGGGCATGAGGATCTTGTTCATGGGTCTTAAACTTTCTGAGACCACCATCTGTCTTCCCTTCTTCAATGTTGTGTTGTGTGATTGTCACTCAGAGTAGACACCAATGAGAATCACATTAGTTTCGTTGCTTTCTTTCTTTCTCTGCAACTTTGTATATCTCAGTATCTACTTCTCTGCCACCACTGGCAAATGTCTGGAGGATCAACAATCATTGCTGCTTCAACTGAAGAACGGCCTCAAATTCAAGCCTGAAAATTCCAGCAAACTGAAGTGGTGGAATCAAAGCATTGATTGCTGCAATTGGGGTGGTATAACATGTGACGATGAGGGGCGTGTCATTGGCCTTGACCTGAGAGGAGAATTGATCAGTGGTGGATTTGATGATTCGAGTGTTGTTTTCAGTCTTCAACATCTCCAGATTTTGAATTTGGCTGCTAATAATTTCAATTCTGTCATTCCATCTGGATTCAACAAGTTGGAAAAGTTGACATATCTGAATTTGTCGTATGCCGGCTTTGTGGGTCAGATTCCAAATGAGATTTCTCAGTTGACAAGGTTAGTTACTCTTGATATATCTTCTCTTTCCTATTTAACAGGGCAAGAGCTGAAACTTGAGAACCCAAGTCTAACAAAGCTAGTCCAAAATCTCACCAGTATTAGGCAACTGTATCTGGATGGTGTAAGTATAACAGTTCCAGGACATGAATGGTGCAGCGCCTTGTTGTCATTGCACGACCTGCAAGAGCTTAGCATGCCATATTGCAATCTCTCAGGGCCCCTGGATCCTTCCCTGGCATCACTTGAGAATTTATCAGTCATTGTTCTTGGCCAGAACAATTTATCATCCCCAGTGCCAGAAGCATTGGCTGATTTGAAAAATTTGACAATCCTAAGTCTTCCTGGTTGCCAGTTGACTGGAACATTTCCACAGAAGATCTTCGACAGTGGAACATTGTCAGTTATTGATATATCATTCAACTACAATCTCCATGGTTTCTTTCCAAACTTCCTACTGAGCAGATCTCTCCAGATCTTTAGAGTAAGTCACACAAACTTCAGTGGAGCATTTCCACACTTTATTGGTAACATGAGGAACTTATCTGAATTGGATTTTTCTAATTGTCAATTGAACGGAACACTTCCCAACTCTCTGTCAAACCTCACAGAACTCAGTTACCTGGACTTGTCATGTAACAACTTCACAGGTCAAATGCCATCATTTGATATGGCCAAGAAGCTTACACACTTAGACCTTTCTCATAATGGTTTGACTGGTGCAATCCCATCATCTTCTCACTTTGACGGACTGGACAATCTTGTCAGCATTGACTTGCGTAATAACTCAATCAATGGGAGCATTCCTTCATCCCTCTTTACTCTCCCACGGCTGCAAAAGATTCTGCTTTCCCACAATCAATTTGGTCAAGTAGAGGAATTCACAAATGTGTCTTCTTCTAAATTAAACACTCTCGATTTAAGTAGCAATAATCTATCCGGGTCTTTTCCAACATCTATATACCAGCTCAGTGCACTCTCTATCCTCCAACTATCTTCAAACAAATTCAATGGGACAATGGATCTAAATAAGCTTTTGGTGCTCAGAAATTTAACTACACTAGACCTTTCATACAACAACTTTTCAGTCAAAGTGAATGATACAAATGTTGACTCATCTTACTTTCCCTCCATTAGCAATCTAAAGTTGGCCTCCTGCAACTTGAAAACTTTTCCTGGTTTCTTGAGAAATCACTCCAGAATAATCTCTCTAGATCTTTCAGATAACCATATTCAAGGAATAGTACCCAACTGGATTTGGAAACTACAGATTCTTCAAAGCCTAAATATTTCTCATAATTTGTTGACTAATTTGGAAGATCCTTTGAAGAATCTTTCTTCCAACTTGTTAGTACTTGACCTTCATTACAATAAACTTCAGGGGCCACTACCTGTTTTTCCTGAATATACGTTGTATTTGGATTTCTCAAGTAACAAATTTAACTCTGTTATCCCCCAAGACATTGGTAAGTACCTATCTTACACATTTTTTCTCTCTATCTCAAACAATAATTTGAGTGGCAGTATCCCTTATTCTCTCTGCAATGCTTCAAATCTTCTAGTGCTTGATCTTTCCAATAACAACATTTCTGGAACAATTCCCCCATGTTTAATGGCAATGAGTGAGACCCTTGGAGTATTAAATCTTAGAAAGAACCATCTCATAGGCCCTGTCCCAGATATGTTTTCAGCTGCCTGTTCTCTAAGGACTCTGGATCTCCATGACAATAAATTAGATGGAAAGATTCCGAAATCTCTTTCTAATTGCTCTTCATTAGAAGTGTTGGACCTTGGAAAAAACAACATTATGGATGTCTTTCCGTGTTTGTTAAAGAACATATCCACACTCCGGGTCTTGGTCTTAAGAAAAAATAATTTATATGGCCACATTGGATGTCCAAAGACCAATGGAACATGGCACATGCTTCAAATAGTGGATCTAGCCATTAACAAATTCAGTGGCAAGCTACCTGGAAACTGCTTCACAAGGTGGGAGGCAATGATGTCTGATGAAAACAAAGATGAATCCAAGGTAAAGCACATTCAATATCAGTTTCTTCAATATAATGGCCCAATATATTATCAGGATTCAGTGACAGTTACAATCAAAGGTCAACGGATGGATCTGGTTAAGATTCTAACTGTCTACACTTCGATCGACTTCTCATCCAATCATTTTGAAGGGGAAATACCACAAGAGCTATTTGACTTTAAGGCACTCTATACACTCAACTTGTCAAATAATGCTTTTTCTGGCCAAATTCCACCGTCAATTAGAAATGTGAAGGACCTGGAGTCCTTAGACTTATCAAACAACTCACTGGAAGGAAACATTCCCACAGAACTTGCAACTTTATCCTTCCTATCATTCCTGAACCTCTCCTTTAATCATCTGATTGGGAGAATACCCACAGGTACCCAAATTCAATCATTTCCAGAATCTTCCTTTATTGGTAACAAAGGATTGTGTGGCTCTCCTTTGACTACAAACTGCAGTACCAATACCAGTCCTGCAACTACAGAATCAGCCGACTTTGATTGGCAGTACATAGTTATCGGAGTTGGTTTTGGGGTTGGAGCCGGAGTAGTTGTTCCTACATTGATGATCTGGGAGAGAGGAAGGAAATGGAGCAATGATACATTTGGAAATTTTCTTATGCGAGTTTTTTCACTGTTCGGTTTAGCCTATATCCCCATTGAGGACTATGAAGGGGATGATGGCGCAGAAGAGATGGACGATGATTCTACTGAAGAAGAAGATTATTGGGACTGTCCAAGCTTCAGAGGAAGGTATTGTGTTTTCTGTTCCAAACTTGACCTTACTATGAAGAGGGTCATTCACGACCCCAGTTGCACATGTTACCCCTCATCATCAGCTTCAAATTCTACTCATTCATCAAAATCCTATTCCCCTTAGTAACACCCTAGATAATCATTTGATTTTGTTTCTGGCTTTTTCTTTCTTTGTTGTCTTCATTATTTCTTTTCAAAGCATACATGTATATGTTGTACATAATACACATCAAAATTACCCGAGAGTGGCAAGCAAATGATGATAAAGCAACAATGCCCCCTCTGAATTTCAGAAGGTGGTTTCTGTGGTAATCGGTGACAAGCAAGGTAAATAGATAAATAAATAAACAAACTTACAGAATATAGCCAATATTCATTTGAGATTTTCAGCTAACACTTGGCTGACAACCAATTTTTTTTTTTTTTATTAACAAATAACATCCATTAATTAAACTGAGAATAACAGGTACTTACGTCTTTACGACTTCACAATAGAGTAAAATACAAAATAAAAAAAAAATTATTAAAAAATATACAAAACAAATATAAAGATTATTGTGCCTGTATACAAATTATAAGACATTCCGATCTAATAGGTGAATTACCTCAATGTTCATGTTGCACAATTGGGTGCACCGTGCACAACAACAATTTAATTTTTGAGAATAATTTGTATGAATTTTGTAACAGTTAAACACTGTTTAGTGAAGAGGAAACTCACATGTTTATATTGCAGACTTGGATTTAGTAAATCACAACTTAAGACGCTGGCACATTTTCAGATATTTATTTAGAAAAATAATAGTTTGACCGTTGACAATAAAAAAAAATATATTATTATTATATTATTATTTTAAGTTCTATCATCATCCATTTATTTATTAGTAATGTTAATTATATTTACCCATTCCTAAAAATGTATTTAAAATAGTGTTTAATATATTTTGAAATGACTACATTATAATAATATGATTATAAAAAAAGTTATCCAATTATGAAAAAAATGCTAATAGATGTCGTGATTCGATACAGTATATATTTTAATTAACTGGTCACTTTTACAATTGAAAGGAACACTTTAAGAAGTGACTGATAAATTAACTATATATCTAAAATGGGTTTGTTAATGTATTTTGTTTAATTTTACATAAATGAAATTTCCAACTCACACTTCAATACTAATAAATATATGATTATTTAAAGAATATGATCATTAATTTTATTGTATTATATAAATATTTTTATAAACGAAAATATTATAAGAAAAAAGTAAATTTATTTAATTGTGATATATTTAGTTATGATAATAATAATAATAATTTCAACATACTAATTTATATAGCAGAGGTATATATACTTTTACAAATTAATTGTAAACATTAAAAAATATTTTATTCAAATTTATAATATATCTATATTAAAAATCTTATAATATTTATTTTAATTTCATAAAATAAAAATATAATTGGTAATTTAAATAATATATATAAATAGAGAGAAGATTTTGTTTGATTCACAAAATTATATTAATTAAATATACATGTAGTAAGTATTGGTCCCATTTTCGTTACAAGACAACGTATTGTCTGTTTTGAATTTTTTCCGTTAATTTTATCTTTAGAAATGGTTTTAATAAATTAAAAAAAATGTATATAAATTATTATTTATCGTAATTCTTAGATAATATGAGATTGATATTAAAATTATATATATATATATATATATATATATATATATATATTCAAATTTATTTATAGAATTTTATATAATTTGATTCAAAGTTTCTAACATTTTTATTATTTTAATTATATTTTGGATTATTTTTATTATTTTATTATTAACATCATTTTTATATTGTTTATGTTACATTTCTCCGATCCTGTTGTTGAGTTCATAAACAAAATAAATTATTTCCTGTGTCTTTCTATAAATTTAAAAAGAAAGTAAGCCACCTTCTCTCTTTTTTTCTTTTAATATTTTTTTAGGGTCAAATCTTAAACTAAATTAATAATAATTATTTATTTTTGGACATTTCAAACCCTTCTACCGTATATTTCTTTTATTTGTCATTAAATTAACTTTTATTTTATAGTTTCAATTGCTTTTTTTAAAAAAAATTAAGTTTCCATGTATTTTTTTTCATTCTTTTTGAGAATATTTTTTTATTTTTTTCTAATATTTCTCAATTTGATTACTTTTATATTATACTTTTTCTAAGTTTCAATTATTATATTTTCAATTACTTTGTCTCATTTGATAAAAATCTTTTCTTTTGTTAAATTTATGTATTCTTTAATTATTTTGATTTGAATTAACCATCATATTTTTAATCAATTTAAATATATTTTTTAAAATTATTATTTTAAAATTTATTATTAAAAGTAATCATACAATGTATAAATAGCTACTAATATTTCAAGAGAAGAAGGGTTGAAAATTTATATTTTAATATTTAATATTTAATTTAATAATTTAAAATAATAATATATTTTAACCATTATATTAAAATGAAGATAAAAAAATAAATATATATTATTATATTTTAATCTAAAATCAATTAACAACAATAGATAATAAGTCCTACCATAAAAATTAAGATACATGATGTCAAATTTTTCTTAAATTAAGAAAATGTTTATTTTAATATAATATAAATTAAAATAAAATAAATAAAAACTAATATCCCCTTATGCGTAACTTGTTACTTAAAAAAAATGTATTGGAGTTTATCTAGATAATAATAGAGGTTGTTAAAATGTTAACATACCTTGTTTCTACAAGCAATTAATCTCTCAAATCATATTTATTATAAATAAATAAAATGAAAAATAGAAACATTTTTATTTTATTTAATATTACAATAATAATATATAATACTTGTTTAAATATTTTTTTAAAAGATATTAAAAAAAGTGGTTAAAAATAAAATAATAATTATATTATAAATTTTGTGTAGAAGTTATTTAAAATTTAGTCAAAATTATTTATATAAATTTTTTAAATTTAATTTTTTTTAGGTTTGAACAATTTATATATAAAATTCGTGATAAAATATTTATTTTTATTTTTAAATTACTTTTTTTATAAATTCATTTTATTATAGGATTCATGATAAAATAATTTTTTTATTTTTAAATCATTTTTTAATTATTTTATTAAGATGAATTTTTCTCAATAATATATGTAATAATTAAATTTTGAATAATAAAATACGTGAAAAAAAATAATATTATTCATAAAATAAAAATTATCATGTTATAAAATATACAATAACGTCTACAATTTTAAACATATTTATCAATTATGTTTACTTTAATAAAATAAAATAAAATAATAAAAAAAAAAACTCTGGAGAAGAAGCATGCTTCTTATCTTGCCTTACTTAAAGGGTATAGGGTATATATATGTAGTGTGGTCAATAACCTACCCTTTGGTAACGTTTTCATTACTCAAAATATTGTGAACTGTTATTTTCCTCTGGACAACATTGGTAATTAATTGGTAACCATGGCCATGTATGTCTCTCCCAAACAGTCACACTCTACCCTTCTTCATAACCAAATTCAGACCTTGTTAGAGCCAATGTCTCACTATTATAAGCAAATTGGTAGCAGAGTTTTACCACACTCACTCACTCTCTGACTACATGAGTGGGACCAAAACCTAATCATGCAACCTATCTTCACCATCAAATCAGTTATCCCAAGGTTCACCTACTCCTTCACATCTCTTTTTGTTCACTTATCAGGTCCAATCAATAGCTGCTCCTCTTCACTAAATTCACCAAAACAAATACTTGTCCACTTCAATCATCTTCATCACCATTTGCTTCTGCAAGTAAATTATATTTTATGTATTTTTTAAAACGAAATTTATGATGTCCCTCCTCTGTCATGGAAGCCATAGCCACATGTGGTTGTAATTGTAGCCTTGTACTTTTATACTCACCCTTTGTCTCTCTGACTACATTATTTTTTCCATCTCCTATAAGTTACTTATATTACCACCAATGTTTCAGCTTTGTGTTCCCACGAAGCTTCTATGTCATCATTTATGTAGCAGAACAAATTCTGCTCCTGCTTCATATCTCTGTCATCATTATTGTATTCTTTTCTCACAAAACGTAGAGTATTCAAGTAGAGTTAAAAAGGAGTGATAAAATCAAAAGAAGCAACTTAAGATGAAGTCACTTTGTTCAGAATTATGGTGCATGTTGGACCCTTTCATAATACAAAAGTGAAATGAAAATTTTTAATCTGATATAATTTCATATTTTACTCTATCTTACAAAATCAAATAAGATACAGGTGAAAAAACAGAACTTTGTTTTCTTCGGGATGTGTGGGGTTTTAAAATTGAAGCTTTAAAGCTTTAATATTCAAGTGGGATACTACTTTGCTTGTTTTTCTTCAAAAGATGTGCTGATTGCTTGATTCCACCTTAAGCTCCTTCCTCGTCTCATTAAAAACACCAGCACCCAGAAGAAACAAAAAAGATAATACTTTATTTTTGTTTTTCTACCCATTGGGTACAAAAGATACTATCTGAATATGAAGTAAAAATGTAAAATAATTTGAAGAAATGAACAGTGGTTATTCTCTTTTAATTGTGTGCAACCTAAGGATGAAAAGCAGAAACCGTACAGAATAAAGAAAGGCAACTAGCTAATGGCATATTTCGTCACTGGATTTGGACATGCTGCAACCATAAAACATTTTGCTTCGATTTCAGGGGAAAGGGACTCACTTTCTCTTTGATCACCTCTGACCTTTAGAATCAAAAGATGAACAGAGACCCTCATTAATTACTTGCCAAACAGCTTCGTGGGTCATCATGTCACATTGTGAAGGGATATGTGTACTATACCTAATCAAAGATAAGAAATCATGGAAACACGAAACTGAAGAGCAGCATAACCAAAAGAAGATTAAAGAGGGAAACTAAAAAGAATGAAAAAAGGAAAAATGAAATGGGTGGGCCTGAGCATAAATCTCATTAGTTATTGCTTTAGTTCAATTACTTTTGTCATTTATAAGCGTAAAAAAATGAATATAGATCAATATAGTATTTTTTTATTCATTTTCATTAATCTATTTTCATATTTCTTCTTTTCCATGGTTTGATCTAAAGAAAACATTATTTTTCAAACAAACAAGAATTACTCGATCCGTCATCCAAACCTAATGCAAAATTTGGCAGACTCACACGTCCACATCTCTCCTTTTTCACTCATTCAAAAATCAAAATCAAAATCATTGAACAAAGTTGATATTTTTTCTCTCTATATAACTACGTGGTGAAAGTAACCATGTTCCCTACCAAGTCCAAGGTCAAGTTTCACTACCTTATCCTCACCACTGCAACACCCTTCTAGCAAAAGCAATGGATTACACTCACCCTACTTCATCTGCAGGATCTTCTTCAAAGACAAAGGGAAGCAAGGAGAAAAAGGGTGCCAAGAAATGCAAAGGAGTGAGGCTCTCCACCGACCCTCAAAGCGTGGCAGCAAGAGAACGAAGGCACAGAATCAGTGACCGGTTCAAGATCTTGCAGAGCATGGTTCCAGGTGGAAGCAAGATGGACACAGTGTCCATGTTGGAGGAAGCCATTCAGTATGTGAAGTACCTCAAAGCCCAGATTTGGCTCCACCAAACCATGATCAATTTCTTAGATGATAACGAGTCACTCTTCCCTATGTACCTCAGTGATTGCTACTTCCCTTCTGAACAGTTCATTCCCCCTCAGCAAAATCCACCACTTGATCATGATAACATGCAGAATTTACCTCATCTGCCACAAGCACAATGCAGCTTCCAAGGTGAAGACGCAACATACTTTGATGCCTCTTTGAAATATTGGCCAGCTTAATCAACCTCTTAGTTTTTCAACTCTCTTTGGTTCTGTGTACTTCTTTTACATTGTTACGTTTATGACTGCTATGATCTTATTTTGGGTGTGATTTATATATAAATCAACTTTGGGAAAGCTTAGTGTAGGCTTTACATGTACTTTAGTAATGTTGCGAGTTGAATTGTTGATTAATGTTGGCTTCTCCATATGTCACGAACACTTCATTCCTGTTGCATTTTTTGCGAAATGGTTGTGCCTGTTCAAGTATTAGCATGTAGAACTTTTTTCTAACTGGGAAATGATAATAGTTTCTGTAACAATCGTTGTTAATTGATCATAATGCTTATATAATAAATTGATACGTTGCACATATATACTTAAATAGATAGATTGATCAGTGGTAATTTTGTTTATGATTTTCATTCAAAAGTTGTAAACTAAAATATTATATAGATTATCAAATTAATGTCAAACGCCATCCAACTTAGAAAGCTGGAAAGTAAAAGTAAAAAAGAAGTAAAAGTTAGTATATCCCGGTACTTGCTGTTCTTTTAACCTAATGATGGGTTTTCACTTTACTACGTATGGCATTGTATAAAAGGACAAGTTTAATCTTTTTATTATTTTACTAATATTATTATATTATTATAATGAATTGTTTTTTTCCTATTTGGTTGTGAACCTAAAATCACTTTTATTATTTTTACAGATCTAAGTTAATACAATAATGTTTTAGAAATATATATGAACAACTCGCAGTACCACATTTGAGATAATATTTGTTCTGTTTGAAATTCTAATTTATTAATATTTTATTTTAGAAAGATATTTTGATAAATTAAAAAAAAATATAATATATAAATTATATTGATTTTGAGTAGTAATATATTGGAACATAATTTTTAATGAAGGATTAAAAGATATAAATAAGACTTTAATTTCAATATAATGATAAATATTAATATTTTGTCTAAAAATAATAATGTGTCAGTTTTATATTTATTATAATAATATGGTTAGAATAAGTTATTATATTTAAGATATTATATATTTTTAATGATAAAATTATAATGAATTAAAAGTATAACTATATTAGATAATAGATTCGATTGAGATATTATTGTCAAAACATATCTTACAATAATATATAATAATAATTTATTTTCTAACCTTTTTGTGTTTTCGAAAAAAAGGTATAATTTATATTTATCTTAATTATCTTTCATTTATTTACCTTAATCATAAATCGTCTTCAATTTTTTTAAATTATAAAATAATAGTTAAAAATAAAAATATTATTTTTTTATTATTCTCTTAATTATATGTTGTTTTTAGTTTCTCTTTTTAAATGTTGTCTTACATTTATTTGCTTTAATAATTCATAATTTCAAAAATAACTATTTACATTTTTAAATTAATATGTATATTAAATTTTAATAAATTAAAATAAAAATATAACAAAAAAAAGTATTCATTTGTATCTCACTAATAGTTAAACAATACCTACATTTTTAATAAGTTTGCTTTATTTATTCTTTCTTTATTAGACCATTTAGTTTATTTCAAGTTTTCTTTTTCCTTTTTTTAATCTGTTTCCCTCCTGTATAAATTATCATTCAATTCGTTAAAAACTAGAATTGCGCTATAATATTAACAAATCAATCTTAAAAATTATTTTCTACAAATTCCGATGAACAACTTGTTCTAGCAATTATGGCTTTGGAAAATGAACACTTGTTCCTGTGTACTGTAGTGTGGTGATACGGGAAGATAATGGTAATATATAACATGTTTTTTACATATGCACTTTATTATATATTAGTTTTAATTTAATTGAGATTTTCTTTCAATTTCTATTTGTTTTTATAAGTCCTTTTTTAATTTTTAATAAATTTTAATTGATAAATGGGTTAAAAAAAATATTTTAACTGTTAACTGCATGTTTAAATATAAAAAGTAAGAAAGAATCGAGCCAAACTTTTGATCACAAAAGTGGGAAAATCTTGAATTTTATTGATCTCAAAATCCCTACCAACCAATCCTAACACAATGAACACTATTATTGTGAAGTCTCAAGTTCCTAGAACACATGTCAGAGAAATGTTTGAATGTCGAATTTTATTAACAATTTTCCGTTCAAAGTTTGATGAAAGGGAGGACAGGTTGAGAAGAAGAAAAATGGAGTCAAAGTAAGGCACTCTGAAAAAAATAAATGAATTGGTTTATGGTGAGTAAGAGACTTGACAATTCGAATGGATTGAAGGATTAGCCAGATTCACTCATTAGTTCATTACGACTACAATAAATGTAATAGATGTGGATGCAACATACGCTCGAACGCAATGGATGTAGCGAAAATAGTGAAAGTAGTGGAGTTGATAGACGCAACGGAGGTGATGGATGCAACAAATTTAAAGGATGCAATGGTGTACTGGTGTGACAAATACCGTAACATAATGGATTGGGCAAACGTGAGATATATGATAGGCGCAGGTGCAATCATATTGAGTAAGAGTGACTTCGTTCGCTCGTAATATCGCGAACACAAGATAATCTAAATAAATAAAATTAAAATTTTATTAAATTATTATAATTATCTATTTTAATGGCGTGGTACAAAGAAAAAGTCAAACTTCAATTAACATGAGAAACATAAAGTGTAATACAAAACTTTCTTAATTTTTATAGATTGAAGTACTTAAGTTGAACGTGTCTATATTAAACTGAAATTTTCAATAAGGATATTTTAAAAACACACTTTTAAGTTATTTGAAGTTTGAAAACCCAGTTCATCAAATGTTCGCATCTTGGAATGACTGTCTTAAATTGTGGAGTACAAATAGTATAGATTTTATTTTCCATATTGGGACATTAGAATAGAAAAGTTAAGAAATGCAAAGTTTTTTTAAAATGAGTTGATTGGTAAAGAGTAATTTAATTCAAGATATTGGTTTTGGAAATCAGTATAACACTGAACTCTCTGCATTAAATGATAGTCTATTATTTATTCACTTCCCTCTAATTCAAAAGTGTGTTAGACAACTAGGAATTTAAGTTCCTGAAACGGGTCAATGTTGAACAATAATTTTTTCAAGATAACATTAAGAAGAATTACTAAAATAAATAAAAAAATCGCAAATTTATAGTGACTATGAAATATATTTTAAAAATGTGATTATACAATCTAAGAGGTTGATTCTTTTACTTTTACATTTTAAATCTAAATGTGCCTTTGTATTTATTTGACATGTTTAGATTATTAAATCATAAAAAAATACTTCATTTGACGAATCTCCTCCTTTCTTACTTTTTGATGAATTTTGGATTAATAGAAAAATTTTCAATAATAGAAAATAAATTAACCATATAAAAAATAAAACATTATCTTTAAACTAAAATATTAAGATATTAGATTATAATTTCTTCTTAAATATAAGTTCATTCCTTTTTTTTATTTTTATATAACGTGGACTTCAAATTCATATGAATTAAAAAAAAAAAACACTTGTTGAAAATACAAAAGTGTGATGCTTGGAGATTTTGATGATGATTTAGAGACAAAGAATTTCAAAATTAAAAGACTCATATATTCTGTTTGTAATAACTCTATTTTATCATTTTGAGTATGTAAAAATATAGTTCAAGATAGTCAACATATAGTCTGTTTACTAAAAGTTTGTTTTTAACTAAAACTCTTTGTGATAATCGATTATGACCTGGGATAATCGTCGATAATCACTTATGATAATCGATTATCCAAGTTAAATCAGGATTCTGAAAGTCTATGTAATAATTGATTATCTCTGTGGATAATCGATTATCCTGTCAAATTTTGTCTTCTGTGAAAATAACAATGTGATAATTGATTATCACTTATGATAATCATTATTTGTGTCAGTTATGATTTTAAATTTCAAATTTCAGACCTACTTTCAAATCCCTAAAATCTCTATTTAAGGAACTCTCATGCTCTCTGTAAATGACAACTATTTTCATACTAAAGTTTATAGTTGTGATTGCTGAGAGGAACATTGAGTAGGGAAGAAAAAATGGCTTTTGTAACCTAATGTGGGCTAGAAGCGATAAGAATCACTAAGTGGGTTTCTTGGTGGATTGTGTGTTGTGCCGTCTTTAGGAAAAACTGTCTTCATCCTTTGTGGATTCAAAGGAGGTGTTCATCTCTTGTGTGACTCAAGAGTGGTGTTTTCTAATCCTTATTACTTGTAATTTGTAATATGTTTGAACTATTGTTTTAGTGACTGGGTTAATCCTCTTTTAGAGTGATTAACAACTGGACGTAGGGTCTTTTGATCCGAACCAATATAAATTACTTGTATAATCATCTTCCCTTATCTCTACATTTCAAGTGTTTTATTATATTATCTTTTAATCGGTAAAACTTGCGAAAAGTTTTAAAAAGGGAAAGTTTCAACAAGAAACCAATTCACCCCCCTCTTGGTTTTTGTCCCAAACACAAACATTTTGCTGCGCGATACCAACAAGTGGTATCAAAACTTTCTTTGATAGTTTTCCAAATTTTCGAAAATGGCCGGACAAAACCAAACTTTTGCTGAGGGTGCCTCTATTAATAGACCCCCACTTTTTCCTGGTCAAAATTATCCTTTCTGGAAAGTTAGGATGCAAATATTTTTGGAGTTTGTTGACAGGGGTGTTTGGGATGCTGTTGTAAATGGTCCTTTTATTCCTAAAATGATTGTAAATGAAGTAGAGGAACCAAAACTGTTTTCTAGATGGACTGCTGAGGAAAATAGAAAGGCCCAATATGATGTTAGGGTTAGAAATATTATTTCATCTTATGATGTTACGGCTAGAAACATTATTTCATCTATTTTGACTCTTGATGGGTTTTACATGATATCAGTTTGTAAAAGTGCTCAGGAGACGTGAGAAATTCTAAAAGTAACTCACGAAGGAACCGACGATGTGAAAAGAGTAAGGAAAAACTCCTTGATTCAAGAATATGAAATGTTTAGAATGCAATAAGGATAAACAATTTT